ATACCTGTTGGAGACATCAGAGACTCGTAAAATAATAAAAATTAACTCTGAGAGTCATTTTAGATTATACCAAACATAAATTACCAGGAGCAGTATGCTAGTCAGTGGACTACATATCAAGTTCTTGATCGAGTAGTCAAGAGGCTGTTCTATTCATAATGTTCAGCCGCATACTGACACAATACATCTTCATTTTTGCCCCAGACAGCAAGATCTAACATTGGCTCTTCATGAGGCGCTGTAGATCTTGCACTTCCGGGTTGTGTTCCCGGCCAAAGCGGTATCAAAATCTCGCTCCAATTCGATCTTGTCGATGTACACTCATCTCAGTATTACTTGCGCCAGGCTACAGCCAATTTGATTGAAAGTAGCTTTTAAGATTAATAAAACTCATTTTTGATCAAGGTTCGAGCTTCGCACAAATTTTGATTGCTGTCGTTTGCGATCCTTTAGTCCTCAAAGTTGCTTAGAATTTTTCGTTCGTGGTGGTTTAACTATGTGATACAGATTTACATTTATCGTAACCATTATCTACCTATGTGTGATAGTTATGTAGCTAAATGTCGATGATCCTACTGCGAAGATTTTGATGCCTCGTGCGCAGGCAAATGTATTTGGGAATGTATCTGATGGAGTAAAATTTATGACCAGACATATTGGAGGGGTAATAACAATGCTGTCATGAAACTGTTCTTTACCAATATAAGGGGATGGTGCGTGCTGCATCGCTGAATCGTTTTGTCGAAAAACGGGCAAAAATTCCGTTGTACGACCAGAAATGCTAGCAGAATCTTACACAAACATGATACCTTAATTCGCAAAATAGGAGCTAAATGTCCCAAAATCACCAACCGGCGGCCTGCTCTTAAATTCTGAACAGGGTGGCACCTCCAATACTAAGCCTTTTCAAAGAATTTGTTGTCAAGCGAAAGAAGACCACCAACATCTTATTACGGCTTTATGAGTATTGCACGATCAAAGCCCAATTGTTGTATGATCGAGAATAGTGGAAGGATTGAGGCATGAGTAGTTGAGACAAAGGTTGTGGAAAAACTGTTGAAGATTACACCACAAATATCACAGGTTTCTTTAATGTTTAATGATAGATTTATGACAGCAGTTGGTATAAATCAGGTTACGTTGATGTAAATCACAAAATTTCGAGAATCGCGCCACTCGTTTAAAAGCAACTTTATAGCTTGGGATAACGGCTACTTTTCGAAAAGTTAAATCTTGGACCCTTACAAGACTCGCCTTTGAAGAATTTTAGTATGCTCAGAATTATGCTGGATTACATATAATTCTGTTTCTATGTATTATACGCTCACATGCAAAAAGAGTCTATTAATCAAAATAAAGGAGTTAAGATGTTGTGATATTTCATCACTGATTTGAGCTTTTGTACCTCTCGGATAAAAATCCAACACATTGAGTGTCCTGGTGTTTTAGGTAGCAAATTCTAATTTTTTGATCCACCCAAAGGCTGGACACAAAACGTGTGGTCCCTCCTGTGATTGTGCGTGTGCCAGCTGTGAATTCATCGTGCCCAGTATTATAACCCGCCCCGATATGGTGTCTCAAAAATCGATCGAACAATCCAATTTTGGATCTTTGACTCACTCTTGGGGACTCCAGCCTTTCCGTGTTCGTCATTGAATTCCGCATTGACGGAGCAAGAGCATTGACCGCGTAGGATCTCGCTGTTGGACGCAGTGAAAGACGGGTAAACTGGCTGGTTTGCGTAACCAGGGAAGCCCTTCCATTGTGGACCGTGCTGGTGATGGAAACTGCCGTGCGCTGGGGTGGGCCTTAAGTGTTTCGCACTATTCGCAAGCAGCATTAGGCTTCTACGTTTATGTCTGCACCTTCCTTTTATTTGAGTCGACCACTTTTTCCCAGTTGCAGCATTTTCGTGATTTCTCCTTGTATTCCTAACTTCAGGCCGTTATGGCTAATGAATAAGGAACACTTTCAATGATATAATCACTCGCGTCGTGAAGCGTCATTAGATGCTGTAAGTGCTTGCATTTTTAGGTTTTGTTTCTCGAAGCTCTGCCGAGCTGACCGGTATAAGTTTTCAGGTGAATATACTGCTCTCCATGCTGGATTTGGAAAGCCTTTTGTTCATCGGCTTTAACACTCACTAAAATATAAACATGGTGATGATTCATTTTTATAAGAAATCGTCGAACATTGCTGGTGCCTTCCTATCATCGTGCACATTTGGATTAACGTAAATTGCAGACAATGGTTTTGAAAAAAATGATGGGCTTACCTGTCTTTCAAAGAAATATTGCTCGCAATATAAAAACATAACCTACCTAAGTGGAATCTTGAGCTAACTGAAACTGCGTGTTTTGGTTCACTAAACCGAATCAGTTTTGTCTTACTGAAAAACATACCACGACGAAATCTATGAAATGATCAGATAATCTCGAGTCAGATTACGTGAGTTTGATTGAAGGCAATCCTCTTCTTAACCAAAGCATGTTAGTGTTCTGTGCATACTAAGTCAGCGGGATACAACGATTGTGCACTTCTCCGAAACGGATCATACCAAAGCACGACGACGGATCTATATGCGTGCGAATGACACGAGGTGGAGCAGCTGAAGCTACCGCGCATTCCACCAGCATCAGATCCACAGCGACTTTTGGGATGTGTACTGCACATTTTGCTACGTTACACCGAGATGGAGATGCTGGCAACGCACCTCTGTCTATACGCGTTTACTCTGGAGCAGGATATGGAGCAAGTCAAAAGCCACGTACAGCTTTTGACTCGAGAGGTGGCTTGCGAAGGAGAGAATAAACATTTCGTAGATCGATACACAGCGCAGGTGGTAAAGGAGCACATCAATTTGCTGCATTCTCGAGGCACCTCGAAGAAAAAAAAGACAACAGCTATCTCTTATTTTGTATGGCACAATTGCTGCATAAAGAATACGAATCATGCAATGGACTTAGCACCCTCATTTTTTGCTTTTCGAGGTGAGAAGCTGCAAGAAGCGGCCATGCAGATTAAAACTTACAGGAAGAAGTGCGCAATCAGGGGTTGCTACGATAAAAACTGAATTCTACTCGTAAAGAACACGACAACAAAATTGCGGTATTCGGAAGCATATTTAGCAACTGGAAAAAGATTGATCAACAAGCAGAACTCCACATGAACCTTAGAAAAGATGTGTATGAAGTTATGACAATGCTTGCGAGACATGACGAATCAAAGAGAGAAGAACTGCGTGATATCAGTCATTGCCTGGAAGAGGTGGAAGCATGCAATTCTAGGTTGGATAAAGAAGTGTTATCGTTGCACGAACTAGTGAATGCAATAACATCTGACCGTGATCGCTGGCTGAATCTGCCGAAAGAAACAACCGAAAAGATGAACATCTTTGCCAAACAAATGGGTAAGTTGACGGTGAAATGCCAATCTCACGAATCTGAGGTCAAGCCGAGATAGTTGTTCTGCAGACAAAGGATAATAGTGAAATTCGCTTACAATACGCATTCACAATCGATAGATTACAAACATAATGTAGCAAGTGAGAAGGTGCTGTTGTCAAGAGGTTGACCGTCTCACGCATATGTTAAAAGCGCGTGATGAATCACAATTGCAGTTATTCAACGCGCAGCGATCGACTGCTTGAGTGGAATTAAGGCATTCTCTATTCGGTAAGATTAGTCATTTAGAAAGTATACTGGTTTTGGTTGACGAAGTACAATTGAGTGATGATTGCCAAGACATTGTCAAGAAGTCAGCCGTCAGTTGTACACGAAAATAGAGTGACCTGTCGGCTGAACAATTAAATCTAAATATTTCATCTTCGGAAGGGCAAAGCTGTTTTAGTCTCGCCAAGGTTAAAAGAAATGTCAGCGATTGGCATATGGCGAAAGATGTAAGTCTCATCTCTTGTCAGAGTTGCTCTGAATTAAGCAATTATAAATTCTTGGGATTTATATGACGATTCAAGATCCCAGTGTATCGTCGAAATGTCACGAGAATGGTGCAGAAGATAATTTTTTTGACTGTGAGACCTTCGTTGACAGTGTTTCTGAGAGTTCGAGCATTCCGAATGAAGTATTAACGTCCTCATCAGCGAATCCAAAATTTATACTTTACGGAACAAGCAAAACTCATTACAAAGTGCGCAATTAGCATATTTCTTAATTTGAAGACCGGGTTGGAAGCGCAACAGTGTTTGATTCACCTAACTTTGCTCAGGCTTGTTTAGTTGAAGCCGACGAAGAAAAGGAATCTGACATAGACGGTACTTCACTACGATACGAGCCTCAACTGCACGATGAGAACAGCGTTATCATTACCTCGTACAAATATGACACCTCAAGAAACATCACCTAACGTTTCTCCATCACATTGCACTCACCCACGTTTCCTCCCTTTTGGGCTTTAGTCAACATGACAAAACCTTTGTATTCTGATAATTGAGGAACACAAGCGTACCACGGATGAACACCATCGAAGCTAGAAGTGTACATGCCCAATCGAAGCCAGGACGTAAATAGGAGGTCGTATTCAGAAGCAAAATTGAATCCGATTTGAACAGCACTAATATTTTCTTTCTCAGCCAAAAACATGATAGCATCACATAAATAAGCATCGTCCAATTGACGAATTGATTCACGTACTCGTCGAGCGAGCATTCTCAAAGTTTCTGGAAAAAATGGTACCTTCAGCTTGGCTGCATAGCTCAGCATTTGTGTATGTTGATAATGCATTAAAAATTGCATTTTCTGCGTAATGTTCTGGTAGTGGAGGATTAATGCGACGTCGACCATTTACGCAAGTTAT